TTTCATATTTTGAGGGTTACTTTAATATTTTTTTGAAGTTTATATTTATTTAAAGAAAATTTCAATTTAAACTATTAAAAAAAAAAGGTAAATCTGCAATATGAAGAGAGAGAATGTAAAGGAGGAGAGAGAAGATGAATGGAAGAAAAGCAAGTAGATGAGGATTCTTTAGTAATTTTGCAGTTTAAATTGACCACATCACCTATCCAATGCCATATCAGCACCAAGCCATTTCTTGGTAACGGAGTAACAAGGGTGTGGACGGAAAGATGACATTTGATGAGGTCATCGTCAGCAGAAGGGCTGATTTGCGGATTTTGTCGAGTGGAGGGGCTGATTTGCTCTACTTTTAGGTAGAGGGGCTGATGTGCCACAACAATGGACGTAGAGGGGCTGAATTGCACCTTCTGCCTTTTATTTACTCCTCTCTTATCTTCTTTCTCTTTCCTCCTTTAAACACTCGCTTTTTTCTCCGACAAGTACATGTGTCTTGTCTTATCCCATTGTTTATGGGTGGTGTTATTGCCACAGCCACTAATGTTAATGCCACAGCTTTTTTTAGTTATTTGACCATTAACCCACGCGGAGAAGGTGGTGACTGCTGCAAGTTGGATTCAAATGAGGGGTATAATAGTCAAATAACTAAAAAAAGCTGTGGCATTAACATTAGTGGCCGTGGCAATAACACCACCCATTGTTTATGTCCAACACTTTTTTTTAAGAGCAGTGCTAGGGGCACTCGCCTCTTGCACTCTCCGGCCAACACTTCTCCTTTGATTGGGCCACGTAAGCTTGTTTCCAGCTTTGAAGGCAACCTCTAACCGCCCAGACTAACGTGACCCAATAAAACTGAAAGTGTTGGCCGGAGAGTGCAGAAGGCTAGTGCCCCTAGCACTCCTCTTTTTTTAAAGACATTTTTTCTTATCTTTTAAGTTTCTCTTTCTCCCTTTAAACACCTGCTTTACTCTTTGACTGATGCGTGTGACTCGTCCCGTCATTCATGTTTAACACTCTTAAAAGACTTTCTCTCGTGGCTTTTAACTTTGTCTTTCTTCCTTCAAACACTTGCTTTACTCTAATCGGCATAAAGCAGGGGAGAGTAGAAAGAAGGGGCAAAGAGTAAGAGAAAGGAAGCGGAACCGACTATAATCGGTATCCGGTTTAAATTATTAACATTTTGTTACGTGGCAAAAAAAAAGTAGGAGAGGTTGGTGAAACGAGTGTTAAAGGGCGACTGTCCTTAGCACATCTCAAGTCCATAAATAATGGTATTCTTCTTGCTCAGAGAGCCACAATCCAGAAAAGAAAAAATGGACCTTATTCCTACAACACCCCTGCTCTGTTTTTCCTGCCTTTTCATTGTGTTTTGCATGTCGTACTCGGTGGAGGTGGAGGTAGCTGTGGCTCCGAACAATACGGCTATCACAACAATTCCAGTGAATGTGGGTATGGTTCTTGATTTGGATATGTGGGTGGGGAAGTTAGGGTTGAGCTGCTTTAACATGGCCCTCTCCGATTTTTATTCCAATCACAGTGACTACAGAACCAGACTGGTTTTAAACACAAGGGATTCCAAGGGAGATGTTGTTGGGGCGGCTGCTGCCGGTATTTCTTCTTTCTCCTCTCTAGTAATTTTCCTCTTAGGGTCCATTTGGTTGAACAGAAAATTTTTTTTGGAAATCATTTTCTATATATTTTGTCGTTTTTGGATGATATTTAGAAAATAAGTCAATGGAAAATAACATAAGTCAACAGAAAATCACCTTTCACACTTTCTGGAAAATAACTTGCGGATTATTTTTTCGGATGTTGTTTTCCGTTCTTAAACACGCCGATCTCTTTTACGCAATTTCGGATATCGCGTGGGTTTTTGGATAGCCCGATTCGTCTCCTTCCTCAGTTCTTAATTTTACATAAACCACCACAGCCTCGTCTAATGCGTTGGCAGCTTCCAGGGTCAAACTTTGCATGGCCACTGTCACCGGCATCGGCATCGGCATCACCGGGGAGCATTTATATACCCAATAAAAAATTATGAAAAACCCAAGAAAATACACCCACGAACACAGACAAAGATTAAAGCTTTTTTTATTCCAGACGAACAACACTTTTACATTAAAATAACACAATTGGAAACATGAAGTGGGAATGTTTATTTAATGAGGGATGATTGAGGAACTGTTGTGGGGGCCTCAGTAACAGGGACACAGAAAAAGAAAGAAAATTGAAATGAAAGAAGAAACCAGATGGGTTAGTAATAGTATAGATTCTGTCTTTGATTGCTCATAAATCTAAGATCCTTTTGCTGTTTTTTTTTTATGTAAAAGATCCTTTTGCTGTTTAGTAATCGGAAATGGAGAGGAGCAGATGCTGAGTCCACTTAGTAGGGAGGGGGCCCAGGATGACAGACTCAAACTCAACGCCGAGTTTGACCGAGTCACGTCTAATACGTCTATTTTTTAATATTTTAACTTTAAGTTTCAATTTATAATTAATTAATATTTTAAAAATTTTCAGAATTTTCCTTTACTTACGTAGCAGTAAAAAACATTTTTAAACGTATTCCGAACATAGAAAAAAGATCGTTGGAAAAGGAAATATCTTCCATGACAAATATTTTCTGAAATAAAATCCTTCACGAAACCAAACGGATCCCTAATCTGTTCCTTATTTTCTTTCAATAGTTTGAACTTGAAATTATGTTATAAATGGGCTTTAGATGCTCAATTTTATGAGTTTAAGTCTTTAACGATCTCTTTAGTGTAACTTCTTCTATTTTAAGTCATTTTGTAGGTGGGGTAGGAGTAGTTATGATTAAAAAAAAAAAAAATTTAGTATGACTTTCCTTCAAAGAGTATCTGATATGATTTATGGGCAGCTCTGGACTTGATCAAGAGTACACAGGTACAAGCAATCATAGGGCCCGAGGATTCAGTGCAGGCAAACTTCATCATAGACGTTGGAAACAAAGCTCGAGTGCCCATCATCTCCTTCTCCGCAACCAGTCCTTCCCTTTCCTCCATCCGCCGCCCATATTTTTTCCGAGCAACACATAACGACTCGTCTCAAGTCAAAGCCATCAGTGCCATAATCCAAGCCTTTGGATGGAGAGAAGCCGTGCCCATATACATAGACAACGAGTTTGGAGAAGGAGTCATACCGTATTTGTTTGATGCCTTGGAAGAGATCAACGTCCGAATTCCTTACCGGAGCGTTATTTCTCCGGTGGCTACTGATCAAGAAATTGAAGAAGAGCTACACAAGTTAACGACAAAGCAGACTAGAGTCTTTATAGTTCATATGACCCCAATTCTTGGGTCTAGACTTTTTGATATAGCAAAGGAGGTTGGATTGATTAGCGAAGGGTATGTTTGGATAATGACTAACGGGATGACTAATCTGTGGAGTTGGATGGGTCATTCTGATATGGAATCATTGCAGGGTGTATTAGGTGTCAGGAATTATGTTCCAAAATCAAAAGAGTTGGAAAGTTTTAAGGTTCGATGGAAAAGGAAATTTTTGCAAGATAATCCAAGCATGGTCAATGCGGAATTGGATATTTTTGGGTTATGGGCTTATGATGCTGCATTTGCACTTGCCATGGCGGTTGAGAAACTTAGCAATGCAAATTTCAGCTTTGAAGAGCCAAAAGCTGTTGGAAGTGCAAGAACGGATCTTGAATCTTTGGGGATTTCTCAAAATGGTCCCAAACTCATCCAAGCTTTGTCAAGTACGAGATTTAAAGGCCTCCATGGAAAATTCGAGTTTGTTAATGGGCAACTTGAACCCTCTGTTTTCCAGATTGTTAATGTGATTGGAAATGGTGAAAAGGCAATTGGGTTCTGGACGTCCAAATATGGACTGGTTAAGAAACTGAATTTTACAAACTTAACGGGATATTCTACTTCAAGGGCAAATCTGGGAACTATCATGTGGCCAGGAGATTCCCACTCTGCTCCCAAATGTAAGAGGTTGAAGATTGGTGTTCCAGTGAGGAAAGAATTTAAAGAATTCGTTGGTGTACCACCGGGTTCAAGTCCCAATTCAAGAGTCAACCCCACAGGCTACTCCATAGATGTCTTCGAAGCCGTCATGAACGCAATGCCGTACGCCGTCCACTACGATTTCTATGCCTTTGTAAGTACCGACGGAGAGGACATCGGAACTTACAATGATCTGATCGATCAAGTCTTTTATGGGGTAAGTAGGTAACCCAGTTAGTTATCAAATTCTCATTAAATACTTTATGACAATATTACTTTTGCTCTTGCTGTTATATCATTTTAGATTTTTCTGAACATATATCATGTTATCTATTATTGCACTAATAGTATCTAGTATGATTGAAAAAAAGGATGATATTTTGCTCTTATTTGGTAGTAACAGAAATATGATGCAGCGGCCGGAGACATTTCTATCATTGCAAATAGGTCACTGTATGTCGACTTCACGTTGCCTTATATAGCGTCTGACGTGGTGATGGTGGTTCCAATTAAAAACAACTCAAACACGAATGCCTTGGTGTTCTTGGAGCCTTTGACAGGTGACCTCTGGGTCATGAGCGCTTGCTTCTTCGTCTTTATCGGATTTGTCATCTGGGTCCTTGAACACAGAATCAGTGAAGATTTTCGTGGACCGCCTTCACATCAAGTGGGAACAAGCCTCTGGTTCTCTTTCACAACCTTGGTCTTTGCCCATCGTAATGATCTAATAGAAAATTCAAGCCCTTTGGTTTCTAAGATAGTGCTTCACTCGAGAGAGGGTTTGAGCTAAAGGTTCAAAGCTCTTTCGAGTTTTGTTTTGTTTCTAGCTCAAAGCTCAATAGTTTAAAGATGAAAGCTAATTCTGAATTTTGTTTTCAGAGGAGAGAGTGGTGAGCAATTTGTCGAGATTTGTGGTGATAATATGGTGCTTTGTGGTACTCATTCTTACACAGAGCTACACGGCCAGTTTAACTTCTCTTCTAACGGTTAAACAGCTGAAACCGACCGTAACGGATGTGAATGAACTATTGAAGACTGGGGAAAATGTGGCGATCAAAAAAGGCTCCTACTTCGGAGGATTCGTCCGGCAGCTGAATTTCAATTCGGCCAATGTGAAGACATTTAATACGACCGATGTTCTTGATGAACTTTTTACCAAGGGAAGCGCCAACGGTGGAATCGCAGCCGCATTCATGGAAACACCTAGCGTGAACTCGTTTCTTGATAAATATTGCATGAAATACACCACTGCTGGACCAACTATTAAGACTGGTGGCTTTGGATTTGTGAGTTTGTGAGTTCTTCGATAGCTCTCCTGTCCTCTTACCCATATATCATGCTTATTTTTTTTTCTTCTTTTGGTGTGTGAAATTTTTATTTCTAGGTTTTCCCAAAAGGTTCTCCTCTTGTAGCAGATGTTTCGAGGGCAATCTTAAATGTCACTGAAAGTGATAAAATGAGGGAAATTGAAAATAAATGGCTCAAGAATCATTGTACTGCATCTAGTACCTCGGTCTCTTCTAACAGGCTGGATCTTGGGAGCTTTTGGGGCCTCTTTCTCATTGCCGGGATTGCTGCAGCGTTAGCTCTCATCATCTTTGTGGCCGATTTTCTATACAAGCAAAGGCATGTCTTGTGTGGCTCAGAAGCTTCGGCCTGGAAACGAATCCTTCAAGTGTTAAGAAACTTTGACCGGAAAGATTCAACCACTCCTACCTTTAGGCAAAGTGAACTAACTGAAGGAAGACGAATTGATAACATAGAAATGATCTGCTAAAGCCTCGATAAACACCAACTGCCCGCATTGTGCATCAAACTTGACCAGACAGATTTGAGCTTTGTTTTCTTCGGAGAGCAGAGAAAGGCTTTCAACTAGTCATGAAGTTGAAGACACAAGCAGCATACCATCTCCAGAAATAGCAGTTCATGAGCATACAACATTTCTAGAAGCAACAAAAGAAAAACATACAGAAAACGAGTAGATATATTAGCAAGAAAATAAAATGGAGGATATACCTTCAAGTGTTGTTGAGCATATATAGAAATTACATGGAAATGAGAAAAAGTGCATGAAGTACTAATTCTGGCAAATATTGTACAAGACACCCTATCATTTTACAGTTTTCAGGCTTTGGGGCCTTTTTTTTTTCTCAAGTGGTTGTATATATATATATATATTTTCGTTGGTTATGCAATAAAAATAAAAAATAAATGAAAAATGCTAGGGGACCGAACCCCTAACAAGCATAGAGGCCTATTGAGGTGACATCGGTTGGTTTTTTCATTTTTTTTAAAGGTTAAATATAATCTTTAGATTCTATTATTCAAAATTTTTTTTGTTATATTATTATTATTATTATTAAATATCAAGATATTTAATTATAATTTTTAAATATATAAAAT